ATCAGGATCACTCATCCTGCAGAAGAGAGTAACCCCCTCTCTTCCTGTCTGTTCAGTGGCAGAAGGCACCCCCCACGGTCGTGGCAGTCTCAATTTCCAGTTCACTGGAGCCATTATTGTGTCTTCCGGTGGAATCATTAATTCCCTTGGGAATCAGACCTCTAAACCAGCAAAGAGGCTATTCAGAAATGGGAAACAAGAACCCTGCGAGTGTGGTATTGGTTAGGCCTGATAGTGAAAGGGGCCCTTGATCCCTGACCCATGTATTCAGCTTAAGATCTCTTATTAAAAGCACAGCTTTAGTATGGAGGTTCCTCAAAAGATTAAGAATAGAGCTATCATATGACCCAGCAATCCCTCTTCTGGGTATATACCCGAAAAATTTGAAAACGTTTATTCAGCAAGACATGTGCACCCCTACGTTCATTGAAGCATTATTCACAATAGCCAAGACATGAAAACAATCTACATGTGTCCTTCAACGGATAAATAGATAAAGAAGATGTGGTACATTTATACAATGGAATACTACTCAGCCATAAAAAATTGTGAAATATTACCATTTGCAACAACATGCATGGAACTTGAGAGAATCATGCTAAGTGAAATAAGTCAGATGGAAAAGGATAAGAGCCGTATTTCACTCGTACGTCGGATATAAAACAGAAAGCAACAAACGAACAAAACAATCTCATAGACACAGACACCGGTATGGTGGTTACCAGAGGGGAGAGGGGAGTAGGGAGAGGATGAAGAGGATAAAGGCGGTCAACTACATGGTGATGACGGAGGCTAGACTTTGGGTGGTGAGCACACAATACAATACACAGATGATGTATTATAGAATTCTACACCTGGAACTTATATACTGCATTAATCAATGTTATCCCAATAAATTTAAGGCACTGCCACCTACTTCGTGGCTGTTTCCACTTCTAGTTCTATAACCAAAAGCATGGGAAGTTGGGACTCTAAACAGATACTTGTACACCTGTGTTCATGGCAGCATTATTCACAACAGCCAAAGATGGATGCAAACAACCCAAATGTCCATCAATGGATGAATGGATACACAAAATGGGGTAGATACAAAAAACAAAAGGAATAATATTCAGCCTTAAAAAGGAAGGAAAGAAATTCTGACACATGCTACTGTGTGAAAGAACCTTGAGGTCATTATGCTGAGTGAAATAAGTCATACACAAAAAAGTCACATATGGTATGAGTCCACTTAAATGAGGCATGTAGAGTAGTCAAATTCATAGAGACAGAAAGTAGAACAGTAGTTACCAGGAGCTGGGGGCAGAGGGGAATGGGAAGTTATTGTTTAATAGGTACAGAGTTTTCAGTTTAGGATGATGAGAAAATTCTGGAAATGGATAGTGATGATGATGGTTGCACAACACTGTGAATGTACTTAATCCCACCAAGTCACACACTTAAAAATGGTTAAAATTGTAAATGTGGGGGTGACCAGTTAGCTCAGTTGGTTAGAGTGTGGTGCTGATAACACCAAGGTTGCCGGTTCCATCCCCACATGGGCCACTGTGAGCTGCGCCCTCCCTAAAGGAGTCAACTATGCTATTGTAGCATGAAAGCAATGTGTAACCGATGATCATGGCTGTTCCCCAATAAAATTTTTCCCAAAAAAAATTGTAAATTTTATGTCGTGTATATTCTACCACCATTAAAAAAAATGATATAAGAAAAGCATATAATGCATCCTGTAAGGTAGAATCTCATCTCTTGAGAGCATTATTGCCCAACTGCCCACCGCTGAGTGTTCAGGAGGCCCTTTCAATTAGGCCAGCTGCTTCTAGGTGAAGGGGGTATGTGGTAAAACCAATGGGCGTGAGCCCCCTGCCACATTATCAACCCTTGTGGTACCATGTTGGGGCTCAGCATTGATCTCGGCTGTTGGCAGATTAGGCACATAACGTCAGCGGCCGCCAGGTCAGCCTTTGGGAAAGAAGTCCGTATGTGGCGCCCATGCATAGCCTCCCTCCCTGCCATCATGGCGGTTTAGTCCACAGACCCTTCTGAGCTCAACTTTATTCTTCCGGGACAATGTCCTTCAGCACTTCTCTCGGCAAAGACCTGTTAGTGATAAATGCTCTTAACCTTGGCCTGTAAATTTTTTTTTCCCCTGCTCTCTAGTTTAGTTCATTATATCATTCTACATGAAGCTATTGTTCCATTGCCTTCTGGCTTCTAGGGTTACATTTCCTAAGTCTGCTGTCATCTGTCCCTTCGTTGGTAATAATTTTCAAATCCTAGTGTAGGAAGTTGCCAGCTGGTAACAAGGTGAGCAATGAGTAAAAGGCAAAAGTGAGAATAGTAAAAACAGACAACATGCATTTTAAGTGGCAAAGAGCTCACCAAGCGTTAGGTGTGAGCAGCAGCCAGGCAGATGCTCTGTAATGGCCCATGTAGACACATAGTGCCTGGGCCAGTCAGGGACCAGGGGGTCAAGGCCCACTCCTGGGGGCACAAGAACACCTCTGGCCACCAGGGAGCTAAGCTGGGGGCTACTCCAACGGCCTTCTTGGTGTTTCTCAAAGTCCTGCCTCAACTTCATGCCACAATTGGGAGGGCCAGTTATCTCAGGTGGTTAGAGCGCAAGGCACGGAGCTTATAACAAGGTTGCCAGTTCAACTCCCACATGGGCCATTGAGGTGCGCCCTCCACAACTAGATGGGAACAACTACTTGACTTGGAGCTGATGGGTCCTAAAGAAACACAGTTTCCCAATTTAAAAAAAAAAGTCAGGGCCAGCCGAGTGGCTCAGTTGGTTAACAGCTCGCTCAAGAGTTTGAGCTCTGAGCAACAGCGGTTCGATTCCCGGCCCGAGCTGAGCAGCCACTGAGCTGCCAACAGGTGGCAGGATGGCTCAGCTTAAAAAAAAAAAAAAGTCACAATATTCTCCCTGCACACCCTGGGAGGGGGCAGTCTAGGGGCTAAATGAGTATGCAACCCTCCCCCTCAGAGAGCTCAGCCCACCCTCATTCCGGGGGTAGCCCCCACATTCAGGTATCTGCACTGTCCACCCTCGCCCCATCCTTCTGCCCCGACAGTGCTCCGGATCAGGCCCATGCCCCACTGAAGGCTCTTAATTCCTTGAACAAGCTCTGTCCTGCCTCCTCAGGACCTTTGTTGTCCAGTTTGGAACTGTCTATACCTGCCTCCCTCTCCTCCACTCAGATTTTGGCACGAGTGGTTCTTTCTCATTCTCCAAGTCTCAGCTCACATGCATGTCACCTCCTCAGTGAGGCCTCTCCCAAACCACCTCAAATTGTTCCCACACTCACCCAAACACCCCCTCCATCAGCTCCGAGGAGCACTGTTAAATCTTCTCATTATTTTGTTCATACTTTACTTGTCCTCCCTAAGGGTGAGGGCCCCGAGGGTCATGTTCACCATTATTCCCATGACACATAGACAATCAAGAAATGGTCAATTGGGCCCCCAGCCTAAGGATGGTGGGTTGAATCTAGCATTAACTCTGCTCCCTCCCAAATTCCCACTAAAATGGCAGTCAGCACCTCTTTTTTGAGGCCTAAACTGACAAGGACATGAGAGGACTGAAGAGGACTTGAGAGTCACATTTTGGAATCTGAAACTGATGTACAAGTGGCAATCCTCTTAGCCAGTTCATGAGCAGGTTCCTGCGTGGTAAGGGGGAGGCCCTGGAGAGCCTGATTGCCCCATGGACGTCCCAGGTTCAGGGAGACTGCGTTTGGAGCTATTTTAGGGTAGAAGCAGTTTGGGGATCAGAGGGACCTTGACACACGGCTTCTACCACTCACTCACTTGCCCTCAGGCAGAGCCCTCTGCCTCCAGCTGCTTCAGTTCCGACACCTAATCCACAGTAAGCGCCCTTCTCTCCGGGCTGTTCTGAGATGGCTGGAGCGCCTGGCCCAGGGTAGGTACACCTCCATCGTCACTGAAGAGCCAGGTGGTGGGCCAGTGTCACCTTAGGCCAGGTCAGGCACCTCAGCTCCACCACAGGAGCCCACCCTGAGGAGCTGAAAATGGCATCACCCAGCAGGAGCCCAAGCTTTGTAGCTGAAGCCACCCGAAGCCACAGGCCCTCACAGCTAGACTCCCATGCCCCGTGGGGAAGGCCTCCCAGGGAAGTCAGCTGGCCCTTTGAGATCCAGGGATCAGGGACATTTCTAAAGCAGCGGGAAGACACTACAATCAGGGGCTATATTTAACGGCATCTTAACTTTAAACTGGTAACTACCTTGCAACATTCCCCTGGTCAGGCTCTAGGGGCCAACTTCCCTTCCCACTTCCACCTGGGCTTCTCCAGGGTCCCCCCACCCCCGCCTCATACCCACACCAATGCTGCTGAGACCCCTTTGCACCAGCATCTCTGAGACTCACTACGCAGCTTCGTGTTCTAGGATTTGTTCTGCTTCTCCCTGCAGGGTCTCCAGGGATCAAGGAAGGGAAGTGATGTTAGAGGGGATTAGGAGAACAGCAGGACAGGGAGACGATGGCCCTACAGAAAGCTTGCCAGGGGACAGGATAAAGCATCTTAAATAACTGCCTTACCTGGCACTGGCTTGTTGTAGCTTTTTAGATCAAAGGCTAAGGGTAGCCACGGAACCGAGCAGGCCACAAGCAGCCCAGGGACATGAGTCCGTCACTGAAACCTCCTGCCCTTCCCAGGCTCAGTCTCCCCACTCCAACCAACATCGACAGCTTCAAGGCGGGAGGGCCAGTCCCAGAAGAGAAGGAACCATGGTGACTTCAGACGGTCTGGCTACTATGAAGGGATTTTACTCACAAAAGCCTCGTCATAACTTACAACATCCCACATCAGGACTCTATATTTTCAGTGTTTATATGATGTCCTCGTATACAATTTATTTTACTTTTGTTATTTCATTTATACCCAAAATATATTTACTTCAGATGCCTGGGAGAAACCCACTGTGTTACAAATAAGAGACACTTTCATTGAGTTATCATCAAGGAAACGATCACCAGGATTTCACGTCAACTGCTCGTTTATTAGCATTGGAACTGCAAAATAACTGTTTCCAGTGAATATGTTGAACTGCAAGGAAATGACAGAGCAAGGTGAGGTTCAGCTGCGTGAACAGCGGGTTCTCATTTCTTCCACTCGTTCTTGTCGTAGTCCCACTTGGCAGAGAAGCCCTGGATTGGGCTGACCTTCATGTCGAGCATCCTCTTGGTCTGCTTGGCTATCCAATCCTCTTCAAAGGTGTGCGGGATGGGGCCGTACACTACAGTCCAAAACAACCGCGTTAGGCAACAGGTCTGGACTAGTCGTCTTTAAGCCAATGCACTATCGGGGTTAGGTCGTCCCCATCACCCTGGCAACCCAGGTCAGTGAGGTCGCCTGCCACTCAACACCAACAAATATGCACTGGGTTTGAATTCTGGGCACTGACAACTCTTGACAGTTCCACATTACTCCTTTGTTTGTAAGTTAGCAAGTAAATAAACAAAAATCAGAAAGCCTTCTCTACAGGACACAGCTAACAGGGTCTACAAGCTGGTGTAGAGTCAAAGGTGACTTGCAAGATGATCAGAGATGGACACAGGTCTGCTATTAACCCACGTCCACAGTCAAACCACAGCGGATACCTGCTCAGAATGGGAAAATGCTTCTCTCGCCTGGACAGAAAGAACCCGGGAGACGCTAGAATGAGCAGGCAACACCTACACTAAGCAGAAACTGTGAGGTCTAAAGACCCAGAATTCTGGTTATTGAGATGCAGTCCATGAACAGCTGAAATAGCCCTTCAATGAGTACGAGTTCCCGTCTCTCTGACTGAACCTTCACTACATCATCTTCTAGTAGCTGACTGCTAAGCAGATTAATGTCTACTGAAAATGTGTGCTGTACAAAGTAGGTAAGTCCTTCACTACCAAGCAGGTGTGGCCCACCCTGAATAAATGAGATTCTGGCTTATACAACTTCGGTTCACACAAGCCAGTTTCACACACCTGTCCACAACCCTGGGATGGACCCCAGAATGGAAGTCCATGTCTGTGTGAAGGCCACCCCACAGCTCACTCCTAGGCACTGAAAGAGGGAGCAGTGCTGGCTAAATCCACGTCTTGTCTGACTGAGGGTTTTTCACCCGAGAGCCGCTCCAGACACATGGTCCCTTCTCGCCTCTCTACTCACCGAAGCGTTTCTCCCACATCAGAACGAGAGCAGTGAAGCCGATGAAGAACATGGCAACGCCCACAACCGTCTTCCACTCGTTCGTGCTCCTGTTCATTTCAGCAAAGCTTTCATCGAACTTAATGCGATACACTGGGAGCAGAAAGAACAGCCGTTTGCAGGTATAATGACTACGGGGACCGACCACTCCCTCGTCTGCAGAGCTCCATCATTTCTCCATGCCACCATAGGGAAGGAGGAACGAGGAGCTGAGGAATACAACAGCGAGGCCTGAGACCGCAACACGCTCATGCACGTGCGTATACATACGCGCATATTAAGGAGTGAAGGAGGGAAAAAAACGCATGGAGTTTGCGTTGGGTAAAAAAAAAATTTAACTGAAATTCTCTTTTCTAGAATAGCAGAAGGGTCAATTTAATCACGTTATTTTCAGGCCCCTGTCCTACCTGACAATGTTCTGCTAATCTTCAAAAATTTACAGTAAACCCAGTCCCAACCAAGCAGAGGCACTGAGATGCCGCATCCACATACTACACACCCAACTGACTCACACTCGGCTGCTCTGTCCATGTTCAAGCTCCTCCTCGGGGCCTGGAACCCCCGAAGGAGCCTGGGCAGAGGTCCACCAGCCGGCAGAACACAGAAAGTCGGCCCTGGAGCAGCCCGACAGAAAAACACCACACGGAGCCTCCGCACACACTGCTCTCTGGGCAGCACCCCAGCACTCCTTAGTAAAAACTCTCTCACACAGTGTACCTGTGCTTCCCTTCAATACCCACATTCAACTTTTTCATCAATGGAGAGGCTACTCCAGGGGTTCTTCTCCTTCTCTTTCAAGGCCTTCTGGCTAGCAGAAAGGTTCTTGACATGGGCCACATCGGGCAAGGGATAGTCACGCCGATCAACATAAGCTGGGAGAGCATAGTCTTCACTCTTCACAACACTCCCTAAAAAACACATCAGGTAAATACGGGAAAATTCACATAGGTTCAGTTACACAAACAAGGTGGTACTTCTAAAAACTGAAATAAGCACGTGCACGCACATCCTGAAAACTCCAGTTGTCGCAGGGGGCTGCAGCCACTGTTTCAAACAGTTGAAGGACTGTCATGTGGAGCAAGGAGCAGGCTTGTTCTGCGTGACCCAGGCAGCAGAACGAACACGGTAGGTGGGTAGTTTACTGCAGCACTTATCATCACAGCAAAACAGAAACCTGCCAGGAGCACTACACAGAGGCAGTACTTTCTACAACTAACAGTATTCACGCAGAGGTCAGACAAGGGCTCTAGGGTTCCCCTTCCCTGGACGGAGACTAAACTAAATAAAGGCCCTTCAGCAAGTGCCTCAAACTAATGAGGAAGAAGAAAAACAATAAAAAACTCATAAAAGAAATATGTTCAAAGTTCAGCAACAAAGACCTTTGTAAAGATGGTTACTACAGCACTGTTTATTATAGCAAAAAAAAAAAAACATAATAACCTGCGTCTCACAGAGAGGATGGAGTTAGCTAGCTCCTTAGAAACGTGTATCATGGGGCCATTCGCTCATCTGTTCAACAAATGTTTACCTAGCAGCTGAACATGGTAAGCATGGGATTATCAGTGAACAAAGCAGAGTCCTACCTACTGGTGCCTACACACTACAAGTGGGAAACACAATAGACATGTAAATTACAGAGCATGTTAAGACATGAGCCCTCTACAAAAAAAGAAAGCAGAGAAAGAAAATTGGGGGTGGGTGGTATACCTAAGGCAGGAAACAAGTTACAACAGCAATGGAGAGGAGGCAGATCCATGTGTTCAAAACGGAAAGACAATCATATACTCACCAAGTCACTGAACAGAATCAGCGTTTTGTTTCTCTTTTTAAAAATGTAAATCATGTCTATATACTCACACGTGTATGTAACTAAACACACAAACCTGGCAAAGTAAACTCAAGTTGTTATCAGGGAAAGAGGAGAGGACAAATGGAGATTTTTGCTTAAACAGACAGAAATTTTTAGTTCCTTAAAATGAGCGTGTACCCATGTATTACTCAAGCAAAGAGAAAAAGAGTTCAGACCACAGAAAAGAAAGGAATACTTTAATTTTTACTTAGGGTTTTCCCACTGCTAAAAGCTATTTTTTCAATTCTATCCAACATCTGCAAGAAAACTGTGTGTTCCAAATTGGTCTAGAACTATGAAGTCCTGCAAAACTGCTTCACCTCCATTAGCTTAGTCCCAATGGTTGAAATCTCCCAAATCATGTTAATAGTGAAATAAAACATTTAGCCTTAAGCAAAGTAGTATAATTTCTCTAAGTACTTATCTTTGCCATGCAAATGACTAACACGGTTATATATTTATACTCAACCTTAACCCAAAGGATTTGAGGTGAAAATGACTTGAATTACTTTCCAATTTTACAATTCTAAGTCTATTAAAATGATGAGTGAACTAAAAACAATGTTTGTACATTAGCACTCAGCTTACACATCAATTATTAAAAACAGAAGTAAATTGGGGTGATGAGAATGTTCGAAAATTGTGGTGATAATGGTACAGCTCAGTGAATCTACTAAAAAAACCACGGAAGTGCACACTGTAAAAAGATGAATGTCTGCCATGTGAATTTCATCTCAATAAACTGTTATAAAGATGTACAGTCATGAGCCACAACGTTTTGATCAACGATGGACCACATATACAATGGTGGTCCATCAGATTATAATGAAGCTGAAAAATTCTTAATGCCTAGTGCCGTCAGAGTCGTCTAACCTTGTAGCACAAGGCATTACTCACATGTTGGTGGTGATGCTGGCGTACACAAACCACTGCACTGCCAGTCGTATAAAAGTATAGCACATACAATTATGGATAGTACATAATACTCAATAATGATAATAAATGACTGTTACTGGTTTATATATTTGCTATACTTTTTATTATTATTTGAGTGTACTCTATTATACATACAGAAAAAAGTTTGCTGTAAAACAGTATGCTTTGCTATGCCAGCAGCAGCCTCATACATCCCGTGTTTACTCTGGTCCCCTGATGGAATTTTCTGTTGTGCTTGATTTAACCTTGTCGTTTTGTGCAGTAGCATGCTGTACAGGCTTGTTGCCTAGAAGCAGTAAGCTATCCCAGAGCCTAGGTGTGTAGTAGGCTATACCATCCAGGTGTGCCTAAGTGCACTCTATGACAAATTTGCCTAATGATGCATTTGCCAGAATGTATCCCAGGCATTAAGCGGTGCATGACTGTAAATGCTAATAACCTTGGAGCACTCTAAGCATAAAATTCCATTTTCTAAAACAAGAATGACCAATTCGTGATCTCAGAGCTGCCAGGGATTTTTCAGCACTTTGGGCCTTGTCCCCCAGCAAATGAGGGAGGGAACGCAAAGGTTAACATACCAAACATTCCCTTTAAGAGGAGAGGAAGCAAAGATTTTGCATTCTAGTGAAAGTTTTGCCATTTCTATCCTTACTTGGATGGCTTTTTGGCTGAGCCTCTGCTGAGGAAATCTGGTGAATTTGAGCTCCCCTGGCAATTAGATGTATCACCACACAGATACCAATGGCACTCCGTAGTGTGTCACTATTTTATGTGGAGAACCAGTTCATGTATTCATGTATGGCTTTTATAATTAAAAGTTAAAAATTAAAGGTCAAAACATGTCTAATGGTCTGTAGTTTTCTCCATCTGCCTACTGTGTGCTGGAGATGCAGCCATGAATAAGACACGCAAGGTCCCCGGCCTCAGAAAGCTTGCACTCTACAGGAAAAGACAGATAATACTCAAACACACACGCAAAACCACAATATGGCAGCACTGTAAGAAAAAACAAAGCAGGGTGATGTAGGACTGAGTATCTTTAGAACGAGTAGTCAGAAAAGGCTGTACTGACCAGCCTGATGTATGTGAGGAACAAAATACTATACCACTGGGGGCTAGGACCTTGAACAAACAGGGAGAACTGGCTGGGCTGTTTGCTTTTTTGAGTATGATATGATGAGATCAGAAAGGCCAACTGCAGTTCTTACTCTAGGCATAAGAAGCTGCTGAAGGGTTGCAAGACAGGACTTGATCTTACTTCCAACCCCCAAAAACAATACCTAAGAGTAAGTCATGGCCAATATCACTATAAGGAGATAGAAGTTGGTTTCTTATGAAAGAGCAGAATGAACAAAGGAACTTTGAGGGTGATGGAGAGGTTGTATGTTACACACTGTGTGAGCTTATCAAAATTCCATAGAACATTACACCTAGAAAAGATAAATTTTACTTTCCGTAAATTATACCTCTAATGAACTAAACTAAAACAAAAAGCTAAGGAAATCTATTAGCAAAGCCAAAATGGAAACAAAATGTAATCTTTGTCATAAGTGACTACCTAGGCTTTTAATGAAGGAGTGTTTCTTTCCACATGTATTAAGCGAAGAATTCTCCTTTATTATTTACTCATTTAAATAACAGATACTTCAATAATGCTCTTATAAAAATAATCTGTTTTAGAGTTTGTGTCCACAGTGTTATCCTAGGCAATAAAAAACATAGAGAAAGTTAAGGCAGAATCACCAAATAAAGGATACAATTTCAAGGAAAAAGTCACACATAAAGCAGTTCAGAAAATAGCAGTTACTTGTTATTGAGCCCCCGGATGCACAAACCTTGCTCTCCAAGTTCATCATCCACCACTCAAGCCTTGCACTTGAATCCTCAGTAACACACCTTGCCATGCTAACTCGCATTTTGTCCTTTTGCTTACTTTCCCTCCTCTGCCTGGGGTGCCATTCCCCTCTTGAATGTGAGGTTAAACCTACTAGTCCTTCAGCAAAGTAAAGCCTTTTCCCTGAACCCCAAGCCAGGCTAAATGTTTCTCCCCTGGGGCCATCTGTTACTGAAACACTTATCTTCATGTATCTGCCCTCTCCAGGTTGCAAACATTCTTATGGAAAGATTCTATATCTCACTTTTTATTCTTAGTCCCTGGCAGTGTCTGATACAAAGAAGATGCTTGATAAATGCAAAACTAAACTTGCTATGCGCTAGACACTGAACTAAGCTCTTTACATATATTTCAGATGAGAAACCAGATTCCTGAACTTAAGTAGCTAGTCCAAGACAGAAATGAGATTAAACCAAACTCAAGCTAGGAAGTCCAATCTCTTTCCCTTCATTGCCCCAATAATGTAAATGGTATTGAAGGTTAAGTGGTTGGAGTTTTTGAGGGAAAGATCATTAAAGTCAGGTAGAGATGATCTCTTGAAAGGGGTGGAACTTGAACTTGAAAAAATGGAAGAGAGAGAAAATATCAGTATAAGCAAAGATCCAGACTAGTATTCAATGTGATTCATAAATAATCTAGAACTACACCCTATTAAAATATTTATCCCTCTTCTAAAGTCCCTCAACAGCAAGATCAGGATCTTAGACATCTGCGTTTGAAACTCCAGCACAGGGTCTTACACATAGCGGGAGCAAAATGAAATGAGCTCAGCCTATTTGAAAGAAAAATTACACTTACCGTGCGCTCGTACACACACCGAGGTGGAAATTGCTCGCTTGCCAATTAGGCTAAATACTCTGGTAGCCAACATTCTGAAAGATAAAAATGTACACCTTCTCTATGAATGAGGGCAAACACGTACTAGGAACGATTCTTCTTTTTGCCCAAGTGCATTTTGGTAATCAATGCAATTCTTTCATTTTCGTCTCCCCAACATAAATGATCCGTTCTTCATTACTGACTGAAATCACAAAAATAACCTAGTATAAGGTTTTTTCTTAGTAGTTAGCACGGAACTTCATTATAAATCAAGTGCCAAAATATATACACATTTCAGGCAATTAGCAGAAAATTAGCTTCCTTGAAAAAAAAAAAAGGACAGAAAAATTTAACAAGGAGACTTAAAAAGTTAAAAATGGTAAAGCACTGGGCTGCCACGATGGGCTCCATTGTTGGGAGAGAAAGGGTAATGGCTCACAGGAACTGTGGCGTGCACTGCATTCTACTATTTGCTTAAAAACCTAATATATGCCTATCATCGGAATGGGGGGAATCAGGGAGAAAGGCTGCAAATACGGCCCTGGTCCAATTCCAAGCCCAGCAGACAACGGATGACCTGGATGACCCAGGTCTCTCTTGGCCCCTTCCTGATTCTGGCCCATCTCCCCTACCAATCCCTCCTTTAAAACTGAACCTTTCCGGGGGCTGTTGACGATGAAGAGGATTCCCAACGATTCACAAAATACCCCAAATACGGCAGAATAAACAGAAGCATGACGTCAGAGCTGAACTCGGTGCGGTCTCGCTTTTCTCCCCCAGCCTGGCCCGCGGGCACAGAAGGGGAGCGCCTCTCCCTGAGTCCCGTTAAACCCGGGAAGGTCGCGCTCGCATCAATTAAAGGGATCAGGGCCGAGGCTGCAAAGCAGGCCCCGGGGCCGCCTCCCCTTGGGCCCCGCGCCCTTCGCCAGCGGGCGCTCCAAGGTCAGAGCCCGAAGCCAGCCCGCGGGCAGGGTAGGGAAGGAGAAACCGGGCGGGATGCTTCTGAGCGGCACAGAGGCTACAACCCAGCAGCCCCCGAGCCCGAAGGCCCCGCACGCCGGCCTCAATGTCACCTGGCTCCGAGACCCAACCGCCGCTTCCTGCTGGCTCTGGGTGGCAGGCACGCGGGCACTCAGGCCCTATGGCTCCCGGGCCCTGACCCTCCCCAGCCTCCCGAGTGTGCGGGCCAGCCGCCGCCGATCTCACCTGCCGCCGCCGCCACCTCCCAGGAGCCGCCCGCTGTGCCCACTGCGACCGCCCTCTAAGCCCCGGCAGCTCGCAACCGGAAGAGAAAGAGACAGAGAGAGGGGCTCTGCCGCGGGGCACCACGGGATCAAGGAGGACTCCACCCTGCGCCCGGCCGCGCCGGAGGTCACTGGAGCGGAAGGAGGGGAACGCCGCAAACGTCGTAAAACGCCGGGCCGTGCTGCTTTCCGGCGGCGCCGGTCGAGAAGCGCGATCTGAGTTGGAGGCGGCCGCGTCGGCTTCCCGGATCCGGAGTGGTTGTCGGAGGATTCCAACCCGGAGCGGGGCCTGAGCCTCCTTGGGACTCCGCCAGCCGCGGACCCGCGCCAGTCAGCCGCCGTCTCGTCCCGCTTCTCTGCTGAAGCGCCGCGTGGCTGGGCGGCGAATCCAGGCCTCAGCCGGCCCTCGGGGCCTCGGGGGCCCTCCCGGGCTCAGCATGCCCGGAGTGAAGCTGACCACCCAGGCCTACTGCAAGATGGTGCTGCATGGCGCCAAGTACCCTCACTGCGCCGTTAACGGACTGCTGGTGGCCGAGAAGCAGAAGCCTCGCAAGGAGCACCTACCCCTGGGCGGTCCGGGCGCCCACCACACCCTCTTCGTGGACTGTATTCCCCTCTTCCACGGCACCCTGGCCCTCGCCCCCATGCTGGAGGTGGCCCTCACCCTGGTAAGCACGGGAAGGCAGGGCGTTCGGCCGCTCCTCGGAGATTGGCTTGGCGGCCAGCTTCCACGCAGCCCCTGTTGGAAGCGGACAGGTGTCCCGTGGGAGTCTAGAACCCACCCCCCCCGGAGGTCGCAGTAACGATGGACGGGGTGACCCGCGAGAGCGCGCGATCTTTGCCCGGCACTTAGGAAGCGCTCCGCAGATGGCAGGGTAGTAAGTAGCAGCGGCCCAAGGAGCCACCTTAACTGTCGTGGGGATTCTTAGAGGCGTCTTAGGCGACGAGTAATCTCTATGAATTTCCTCAAGCCGGTAGCAGCCTTTATAGAAATAAGCCATCGTTCACTGGGATTCGATCAGGCGTTTACATTTGGGATTTTGAGTCGCCGAAAGTGTTTTATGTATTGGGACCCCCTAAAGGCTAGAGGTTGGTTCTCGGTCACCTTCCCAGGGCGGGTAAAGGACTTATCCGACGCGGGTGTCAACACGGTGGTTCCTTTGATGTTGGCGCTCCAGAGTCCCAGAGTTGAGACACATTTAGAGGGGTGGCGTTGATAGCACAGGCCCTGCTCCCTTTGTGTTGGGGCGGGGGGGGGGAATGCTGTGTAAGGAGAATTTGTCGGTTCCCGTTAATCACTCCTCTAGAAGGCTCCCGTGGTTTTCAAAGCTAAAGACTGAAATTAAAAAGCTGGAGCAGTAGTACCTCCTACCCACCACCCTTTTTCCGTGCTTGCTTGTAACGACTGCTTCATCGCAGCACACCGGGAAAAAGACTTGGAATACAGATACGTTGGCTGCTCATTTAATTCTAGGCAGTAGTATGTGAGGTATGGTGATCAATGAAGGAAAAACGAGCACCTATAGATTCCAGTGAGTTGTTAAAACCTCAGGGAGAAGTAAACTAGCCCCAGGCATTCCTCAGTACCTGAGCTGTTTGTTTTTCGTTTAAAGTGTCAAGTATGGTGCTAAAGACATATTCGATAATTCATGCAAAAAGTAGCGAAGTTTAAGGTGTAGGTAGAAATCCTATCTCTATATCTCCCACCAAGTAAAATGAATCTATTTCATAATTTACCTGATTATGACACCCATGTAAATTCTTGGTAAGCAGGAAGTACCTTTGGGCAAATGGCCCTGACCCAAGGTTACTGGGCACATTTTTGAGTGCCTGTTAAACTGTCATTTTGTGAATTTCTTCATATCATCTCTGGGCAGGAGATAGATAAGTAGATGATATTTATAAAATCAACCATTTTAGTTCCTGAGGTAATGTGCTGTAACAAAATATCACTAGGGTGTGCATGTTTATGTTTTCATGCAAGTCTTTTCAAGCATCTTAATTATTCTATTACCAAGGGACTTGCAGGCTAATTGGATATGTGTATTCACTTGCAGGAAACTAGATTTACCAGTAGCGTTAATGCAGGATTATTTCTTCTCCAATAGTGACATGCCTGTGATGGGGGAGGGATATGGCTGTGGATCTAACATAGTACCTGCTTAGCAGTTGAACTTGGCCCGAAGCAGACAAATACAATACCAAAGAATGAGTGCCATATGTGAGGTTAAGCAGAAAGTGGTGAGGGGTCCAAGAGAAAAGTCAGCTAACCCAGAATTGCAGCGCTAGGGAAGGCAAGCTGCCCAGAGAAAAGGACATGCAAGTAGTGGCCCAGTCGGCCAGCCATAGTAACCCAGGGGGTGGGGAGAGAATACTCAAGGCAGAGAGACCAGTATGTGCAAAGACCAGGAGAAAACGGGGGGGCAGGGGAGCTAGAGCGTAAAGGTAGAGAGAGGTGAGCAGTGGACAGATTTCATTGTAGAAGACCTTGCAGGTCACACAAAAGAGTTTGGGCACCATCATGAGGACGGAGGGAAGCCACTGGAGGAGAGTTACTTGGACAGACTTGTGTCTTGGAGTGATCGTTCCAGCCTGCAGCAAAGAGGATGTTGGTGACAGTGCATACGAGACTAGAGGCAAAGAGGTGGCCTAAACTGAGAACAGTGTAAAATGCAGAGAGGGGTACAGATTACAGAGAGTCAGGAGGAAGAATCAACAGGACTCAGTGACTAATGGTATGTGAACATAGGGAAAGGGAAGCAAAGTTGACACCTCAATTTCTGACTTATGCATCAGGAAGACAGACGGTGGTGCCTTTCACTAAGGGAAAATGAAGATGACCTAGGGTTCAAAGCTGAAAATGCATCTGGAGCTCAGAAGATGGATGGACTAGCAACATAGACAGGGAACCAGTAACTTCTCGGTGACTTTTGAAGCCGGGAGAGCAAGTCAGATTGTCCAGGACAGTGTGGAATGAGGAGAGAGCCGTGGCCAGAAGCGTAAGGAACTGTAGCTTTTACGGGGTGTGTAGAAAAGGAGCAGTCACAGGGCACCTGATAGCCAGAGGACTAGGCGGAAAAGGACTGTCGCTTTAATCCATATAAAATCCTATCAGAAATACCTAAGAGCTCATAAAGACAAACTTGAACTGCACTTGAAATTGTCAAAATATTACTCATTCTTCTTATTCTTAAGTAACCTTTACAGAGTTAAGAGTTATGTTCCTATTATGAGATATGAGTGCAATACTTGAGAGAATTAAATATACTAGCTATAAACAACTGCCTCTGAGTCACCTTTACATAAATTTTCCCCAAGGAGCAGGTCTTCTTCCCAAACCACTTACTTGGGGAGGGAAGATGCCCACAGGGGACCTTGACTCTTAAGAGGTGCCTACTGCCACCAGCTTAAGAGGCAGAGGACACTGCTTGCGGCCCTGTTCTGATCTTGCTCCCCCTGGGTCATTACACTCTGCACTTCAGTCTCCCAACTTCCTGCACTTCCTTCAAACTTGCTCGTTGTTGTTTGAGTCTCCCAGCCAGCAAAGTTAAGTGCAAACTGGATTTTCTGCAATAACATGTTTTCAACAGTAAAAACAAACAGCCGAAGTTTTATCCTTGCCAAGCAGTGGTGGTTTATGCTGGCTTTTCTCACATTGACCAAAACTTTGAATCATAGCCTCAGTATTTGACAAATATGAAAAAGACGCCAATCGAGTACAAATTAAATAACTTTTAAAGTTATAAAGGAAAATTTCCAATTTGAGTTTCATCCAAAAACGTTGTATGTTATAATTAGGGTATTTAAGTTATATCATTCAGCTTTTGACTTAGCAGCTTTATAACCTGAAGGCAATGAAAAATCTCAGTGCATGGAGACAGTTTATCATGTATCAGCTGTGGAAGATGTAATTTTAATAAACCATCCAAACCCATGAAACTGTATAAAGGACGCCTTATTCTCATGGCTTTTTTCTATTTAGGGAGTTTGCATATTGTGATTATATTTGATAAGTGGGAAAGACTGACTTGATATGCAGCTCATCAAAGGGCAACATCAGATTCCTTTGAAAGGCTTTTTATTATAATTTTCCATTTAAAAAAAATCCTTGCATTTCTGGGTGCTTTTTATTTTTTTTAAGTACTTATGCCTGTTATCTTATTTATCCTTATAACCCTTTGACGTAGGTAGTGACGGAATTATTTCTAATAGCAAAAACCCATAAAATGTTAGGAGGAAAATTAGCATAAACCTGCTGGTTCTCTAAGCCCTTCTTGTCCTGTCCCCTCTTTGATTTCCTAGCACTGTGGAGCAGCTTTCGATTACATTCTGCTCAGATGACTTTCTTATTTGCCAGTTGGCCTGATCACCATGACTTTGGTCCAGAATTCTTTATGCCGCCTCCATGTGGCCGCCTCTGTGCCCATTTGCACGGGCTGCTGTCCTCTGGCCCTTTCCTGTGCACCCTCCTCCCTCCTGCCCCTCTTCTATCTCCAGAACATTCATTCACGCGCTGGCGTGGGCGAGGGAGGCGGCTGCTCTTGGTCTTCCTTTCAGTTCTTCCTCCTGGCTTGCCCCTCTCTGTCCCCGTCCATTTACCTCCAGAGCTCCTCTTTCATGTATCCAGCTGCTTTCTGTTCCATAGAAAAGTCAGCATCCCACTTGAGAAAGAGCTGTTCTCAGTGAAACTAACCACTCCTCTACTTTTAACCTCCAAGGCCTGCTTGTTGCTACAGACAGGGAGGCTCACAGCCTCACCTTGTAAGTGGCAAACCCTCCTCGGAGTCGCTCTCATACCAGTTGCCTGCCTTGCTTACTTGATGGCTGTTGTATAGTCCCCGGGAGGTGGGCGATAGTGCTTTGAAGATTGTAAGGTGCCTCACACATGCAAATGTTAGCAAGTTAGCTGAGAGAAGCTACTTTCTTTGTGCTGCGTCTAACTGGGAATGAATGCGTGGAACCCAACGCCTTTAGTAGTTCTAGTGACTGGAATGGAATGAGCCAAAAACTTCATTAAACAGAGGATGGTGGGCTCATGCTAAGGCAAAAGTCCTTTCTCTCTAAAAAGTAAAAGAAACTGCGTGAGTCAATGAAAATTTGTACAATTTGGACCTGTATTGAGAGTCAATGTTACTGAGTTGACGTCAGGTTTCAGGGTGTTATCCTGAACTTTGATTTTCATTTTGATTGTTCACAGGATGCATGACGGCATTAGGGAATCATAACAGCAAGGCAAGGAAAATGGAAATGGATTCACTGAGAACAGAGGTCAAACAGCTTCTTAGTTCTTTTGCCTGGCCTGCCCCACTTGGGAGGCAGCAAGTTGCCTTTATTGAGCAAGCTACCACTTAAATTGCCTAGGATTTTCATTAACGAGCCACTGGGTTTACTGCAGGAACCTGAAGGCTCTCGGGACCTGCCTGCCCCCTCCCCACCCCGGCCCCAGTCCTCACTGCTCATCTCCTTCCACTCTCTGACTTTTACTCCCCACCAAGTCACTCTCGCCTGATAATACCTGGTACCATTTTTAAGACTATCAAAGAAAACTTCCCCTCTTATTAAAACTCTTTTACCCTTCCCCTGAGGGCTCTGATGGCTGGTGGGGAGGCCTTAGTCACCTCTCCATTCCTCAGTTCAAGGCCAGTCTGTGTCTGAACAGCTGTGGACAGGCTGTGCATGCCCATCATAGGCATCCATACATACAGGTAACTTGGTTATTCTTGTTTGTGTCATTCAAAAGTTTCTAAAACCAAGCCAGAGCTTTTGTGACCTGGTTCACTTTTAGGGTGGCCTCTTCAGAGAGCTCTACTAGAACTTCAAGGTCATGACATTCTTTTTTTGCTGGAGTTTGGTTAGGCCCTTGAGGTTTTTCATATAGGAATTTGCCCCTCATCAGGTCAAGTGTAAGTCGAAGGGTGCAGTGTGTTTGCTGAGCAGTCCTGCACCCTTGCCTTCAGCCCAGGAAAGGAATCGAGGAGCAGCTTAGACTGCTTACTGCTTACTAAAAACTGCTGCTGGGGATGGTCAGGACATCGCCAGTAGCAAATAATTATCCTTATATTCAGCATAGCTCTGATCAGCCAAAAATAGCCCCCCAAAATGTCTATGTCCTAATCCCTGGAACCTGTTAATATGTTACCTTGACATGGCAAAGGGACTTGGCAGATGAGATTAAGTTAAGGATTTTGAGATGGGGAGGTCATCCTGGGTTATCTGAGGGACCCAGTGTAAGGGTTCTTATAAGAGAGAAGCAGAAGTTCATTCAGAATCAAAGACGTGATGACAGAAGCAGAGAGGTCAAGAGTGATGCAGCCACTAGCTAAGGAATGTGGGTGACCTCTAGATGCTGGAAAAGGCGAGGATCAGTTTCTCCCCTAGAGCGCCAAAAGGAATCAGCCCTGCTGACCCATTGTAGATTTCTGACCTATAAGATAATCTGTAGGGCCGGCCGAGTGGCTCAGTTGGTTAAGAGCTCGCTCAAGAGGGTGAGCTCTGAGCAACAGCGGTTCAAGTCCCAGCCCGAGCTGAGCTGCCGCTGAGTTGCCAACAGGTGGCAGGATGGCTCAGCTGAGGGGAGAAAAAAAAGGTAATCTGTGTTGTGTTAAGCCACCAAGTTTGTGTAACTTGTTACAAGGGCAATAGGAAACTTGACAGTAGCCAAACTTGGGACACATCTCTAGTTATGACTCACAATATAAGGACAACCTACACCAAAGAGCAGGGAGAGGGAGGGACGCCAAAGTGGGCAGAAGTGAGGGTCACCCTGAGTGAGGACACATTCATGAGATGGGTCTTTGATTAGAAACAAAGAGTGGGAGGGTTGCACTAAAGGGGAGGCTAATCTAGTAGGTCTGAGTTCAGGGAATGGGGCCAGATGCTTCATTTTAAAGCTATGCTCTGCCCTTAGGTGCTACATAGAGATAAGTTTAGGAAAAAATGACAGAAATCGCTGCTATAAGCAGCAATAGAAAGTTCCTAGAACCCATTCCTTTAAGAAGTGATAAAAACAAAATGTAAGTAATTTTGGAGTCATTTGCAGCAAAGTTACAGTGTAAGAGCCATTATAAATATTTTGGAGACATAGCCCTAATCTTTTGGGTGGATGACCAAAACATCTAATTGGTTCAATGAGCCTTGGTTTTGACCCAATATGGTAATTCGTGAGCTCTTAGGAGGCCAGAATTATTATTCTAATCCTCATGTCAGCCAGGGAACCTTGGACTGTAACCGTCTTGTAATGTCTGCTTTTAGTCATAAAGGAGACTGTCTGAGGTCCAAACCAGAATTCAAGAAAAAGAGCAAATAGGGCTATGTTTAAAACAAAAGAAAGAAAAGGAAAGGAAAGGAAAAGAAAAACAATTTTAACCAGTTAACTCACTGTAAAAAAAAAAAAAAAAAGGATCAGTTTTTTTCCTCTTCTGCAGACTGAGAATAGAATTTATTGCAGTGTATTATTAAAATTCCATTATGGCAAAACAGTTAGGATTCCATTTGTTGGTTTTAATAATGGCATTAGACCTGCAGGAAGCTAAATCTGATGAGGGGAGAGTGGCTTTATAAAATGTACAAAAAAATCTTTCAGAGTTGGCCACCATACTCCCATTTAAAATCATGCCACAGGGAAGTGAGTATGAGTGTGTGTGCGTGTGCACACGCGCGCGCGCACACACAGATACAGCCCCTCCTGTAGCTGCCCATCTGTGTGCCTTGCCTGTTTACCCCACATCCCAGTATGAAGGGTTTTTCACGGTATGTTGCTAGGAATACTGAAATACAGTATAAAAAGACTTGATTTCAAAAGAGACTGAGATTCCCATTTGGGCTCTGCTACCTGGCTGTGCAAACTTAGAAACTCTGAGTTTTTGTTTGCTTATCTGTGAAGGATTGATTTAAGTGATCTCAAGGATTTTTCAAGCCCCCAGATGCCTCAGTTCTCGATATATTGTAAGAGAAGGTGGGTAAAGATGGTTTCCCCTCCCCACCTCTCCATGGTACTGCTCCTGTTTAATATGTGTCAATACTGGGGCCTTCTGCAGGGACTGGGCAAGGCAGCCATTCCTCGTGTCCAGTCCCACCCCTCCCAGCCTTTCTAACAAGGTCCTCAGATATGGGAAGACACCCCACGTCGGTGAGACTGAGGGGCCCATGCTGCTTCTGTGCTTTCTCTGGCTTCACATGCACCACAGAAAGCAAGTTGGTGTGACCTTTCTTCTGTGAACGCTCATTTCGTTCTTGTAGCCTTTCTTCTGGGGAGAAGGATACAGGTTTATGTGGTGTCTTATCCCGGCATTTGGGGCGGGGAAGGTCTACTATGTTTATTAAGACGATATTTCAGGGAAAAATCATTCATCCTTTTTTCCCAATTTTTGTTCTTCTTTCAGATTGATTCATGGTGCAAAGATAATAGCTATGTGATTGCTGGTTATTATCAAGCTAATGAACGAGTAAAGGATGCCAGGTACGTCCACGCAGAAACCCTCTGTGGTCTGAAAGAAGAATGATCATGTGGCAGACAGAGACGAGTTCTGATGTGCTTTTTGACCTTCTGTAGGCTCAAGATACAAAATCTGTGAGAACAAACCCTATCTTCCCCCCCCCCCCATGCTTATTTATAGTATTTGAGAAGAACTGTGGTGTGGACAATTCCCAACAACAGAAAGTCTAAACATTTATATTAACTTTGGGATTCTGTTTTGTATCTCCTTTATTTTGCTTGAAGGGAATTCATGCAAATGAAAGCAACAGTCACGGGCCTCCGGTTTCTGTCCCCACTCAGCGCGGCCTCGCTTCCCGTTGCCAGACTAGGAATGATGTAGGGCAGAGCATCAGGACAGAAGACTGCTCTCTATGGGGCTAAAGAAAACAACTTTTAGGTTTGGTGCTCTAATATTAGGATGAAAGTGTGGTGTTGGCTGCCGCCTTCGTATTGGCTCCTGGTTCCTTTCTCACTATATGAGCAAAGCGGAGAGCTCTGCTTTATTTCTGCCTCCGTCTCCGTCCCAACGGAAAGACAGAGGACACACTGAAGTGAAGATAATTTGAGGCGGGCTTAATAAGCAGGTTATTTCCAAAGGTGTGGGCCATATGTAAGGGAACTCACGAGAGAGTCGCGCAGGCACCCAAAGCTGGTGACAAGTACCACCCCTGGGCCTGATAGGATGGAGAGGAAAGGGTTGAGGAAGGAAGTCTGCCTCAGGAAGAGATTCAGATACACAAATTGCCAGTTATAAAAAGTCACAGGGGTATAAAGTACAGCATAGGGAATGTAGTGAATAATATTATAATAACTACGTGTGGTGTCGTTGGGTACTAGACTAGTCGGGGATCACTTCATAAGTTAAATGTCTAACCACTAAGCGGTACACCTGAATCTAATAGAATATTGTATGTCAACAGTAATAGAAAAAATTTTTTAAGAAAGCAGAATTCCTCCTTTTGGTTGAGGGACACGGCCAGCAGCCAGCCTGATGTGACCTTACAAGGAGAGGCCCAGCGGAGTCGGTACCCTGACCTCCCTCTGAGTTCCTCCCCCCAGGAGCCGGGCGATGGAAAGGCTCCTGTACAGTACAGAGCGGGAGGCACTGACACGCTCTCCTCACATCGGCAGAGCAGTTGGGGGA